TAAATTCTTAATGAAGCAAGAGTCGACGGAGAGGTTAGGCTAAGAGAGAAGTGAATAATCTCAATGAAATTATGGGCTTTTTTGTAGATTTGTAGTAACAAATGTTGACATTATGTTCAAGTCTTTTTAATAGAATTTTAGAGTTTCATCTAGATATAAGACAAAAATCAAAGCCACACTTTTAGCCAGACTTCGTAAAAGACATTTAGCCAGACTTCAAGCCATACTTTCTGACAGTTATTCAACAAGACTTAGAGCCAGACTTCCAGCCAGACATTCAGCCAGACTTTCTGACAGACTTTGAGCCAGACTTCCAGCCAGACTTTCTACCAGACATTAGGCCAGACTTCCAGACATACATTTGGTTATTTTATCTGCCAGATTTTCAGCCAGGTATACAGCCAGAGTTTCAGCTAGACATTAAGCCAGACTTCCAGACATACATTTGGTCATTCTATTTGCCAGACTTTGAGCCAGACTTCTAGACAGACTTTACCAGTTCCATGACCAACTCGCTAACGGCGGGATTTTTGGCGTGCAGGATTATGTAACTATGAGCCACCGTGAGCAGGTTCTATAAATTCGTGAGCTAAAACAGCTCACTAAGGCCCTGTTTCAGCTTCTGGCTTAAAGTCTGGTTTAATGTCTGGCAGGAAATCTAGCTGTATGTTTGGCTGGAAGTCTGGCTTAATGTCTGGCTGTAAGTCTGGCTGTATGTCTGGCTGAAAGTCTGGCAGAAAATGTGGCTGAATGTCTGGCTGGAAGTCTGGCTAAAAGTCTGGTAGAAACTCTGGCTGGAAGTCTGGCTCAAATTCTGGCAGATAAAATGACTGAATGTATGTCTAGAAGTCTGGCTTAATGTCTGGCTGAAAGTCTGGCAGATAATCTGGCTGAATGTCTGGCTAAAAGTCTGGCAGAAAGTCTGGCTGAAAGTCTGGCTCAAAGTCTGTCAGAACGTCTTGCTAGAAGTCTGGCTCTAAGTCTTGTTGAATGTCTGGCAGAAAGTATGGCTTAAAGTCTGGCTAAATGTCTTTTACGAAGTCTGGCTAAAAGTGTGGCTTTGATTTTAGTCTCATGTCTGGATAAAACTCTAAAATTCTAGTAAAAAGACTTGAACATATGTCAACATTTGTTTAGAAATTACAAACTAAAAATCTACAAAAAAGCCCATAATTTCATTGGGACCCAACACAAATAGCGTTTTCAAAAAGATCTTGATTCATGTCTCTGAGCTGGTTACAAATACATCTAGAAAACATTCTCATTATTAATATTACAATGTATTGGAACAAGTAATGTGTATTAAACATTCTGTGACAGCAGTATTCAAATAGTTCTTGAAAAATTAGTTTAGTTACTCTAAAAACTGGTCGGATATTAGGTCTTGTATCTTGTCTTAAATCTGGTAGTTAGATAATTTTTAAATATCATAAAAATATTGATCAAAAAATGGATTTTAATTTTTCTCTTATGGTTTGTCTTCAATTTGGTTTCATGATACGTCTCAAACAAGGTCTCAAAAATTTTCTTGGAACTGGTCATGTAAACGGTTTCAAAGAGTCAAACACTTTATCTTAAATCTGGTCTTATATTACGTCCTATAACGTATTTTTTAATAAATCTCAAGGTTTGCCTTAACGTACGTCTCAAATTTGTCGCATGTATCACAAGGTATGCATTAAATCTGGTTATTATAAAGGTAATGAGATCAGTGAAGCAACAGATATTTAAATGGATCTCAATACTCGTCTTTCAACTTGTTTCGAAAAACAAGAGTTCAAACAGCTCTCAACGCTAATCAGATCCTAATATTCGTCACAAAAATGATTGTTTAAAAGAAAGTATTATAGTATCAAAGAAAGTATTATTCTAGTTTTTTACTCCAACAAGCGGCAGAGCACAATCGTTAACGGCCCTGCAGTTGTTAGCAAATAGGTCGGATTAGAGGTGACGGCTTCTCATCAAAGCCAGCTGCGAGGCAAGGAATGGGAGTTGGTACTGGTGTATCTAATAAAAATAATGAAACAAAGTAACGCGTTACTATTACCATTATTTATACATCAATAATTTATTGAACTTATCTGAGTATTTAATAGGAAGGATTGCAACTCAAGGACATCAACCACTGCTAAGCTTAGGGCTTGGATCGGACCAACGGTGAATAGCATTAGAGTGGGATTGAAGTAACGGCAACCCAGGTGAGAGGAAGAGCACGACCGCTCATGACACTGCAGTTGTTAATAAATAGGTCGGATCAGTGGTGACGGCTTCTCATCAGAGACAGCTACGAGGTTGGGAGTGGGAGGGGGTGCAGGTTCATCTAATAATACAAAGTAAAAGTATAGTGTACTTACTATAATAACTATTTAAGAGTAATATATAGAAACTTATCAGAAAAGAGAATTATTAATAATATATTTTTTTAATTAATTAAGAACAATAAAATAGGAATTTAGTACTCGGGGAGTTTTATTAAATTAAAATTATGTTATGGGCTTGTATTAGACCTTTAGACTTCGGTAAAAGAGCAGAAACAGAAAGGAACCTTATTAGTGCATTAAATGAAATAGGAAAAATATCACATGTAAAAATAACTGTATTATATATCACAGTTAAATTAAAAAAAAATAAATAAGTAGAGTTTTCATGATGAATAAGACAGTAAGAAATTGTAAAATATTATAAATAGTTTTAACAAGCATATTCAATTAAATATGAGCGCATACTTAATAAACGTTTATTTCACAGTTGATAATGCCTATCCAACCGTTCAAACCACATCGTTAAGGCTATGGGATTATTCACTCCTCACTTAGCCTAACCCCTCCGTCGACTCTTGCTTCATTAAGAATTTATCACGCGCTCTTCTCCAGCAGGTGCAAACGGCGATCAAGGGTCAAAAACAATAAATATACATACATGTGTATGTATAAATTATAAGGTTGTAATGGTTTATGCTGCCTATCAAACTAACCTCATGACAAATTGCCATCTCCAACAATTTTTTTTTTTTAACTAGCCATTTGTTTAGAAAAAAAATAGTTGCATCTTATTCAGGATAACTTAATCTGTAATAAATAAAATTTTTAGCCAATTTAACCAAGAGAGAATATACTAAGGGTTTGTGCGGTGTCTTCTGTTTATCTAATGCCAGCGGGGGCAAGCATCTCAACTTGTGCCAACAGTGACTAGTGGGGAGCGAGAAGTAGGTATCTTATGCGGGATTCTTGAGTTTTTGCGTCAAAAAGCAATACAGGCCCTTAACTGTAGTGTCATCTAGGGGTTGGAAAGAGGTACAATATAGTAAATATCCTCAAACAAGGCAATAAAGTACCACTTTCTTCATAAGCTATTTTTTTAACTAGTCGTACTTCATAAGGAATAGTGATGTTTTTTAAAGTTTTATAAAATATTATATCAGGCACTTCATAATATGTATTAAAAACTAGCTCACTTTAATGTATTCAAATAACTTACGTTGATAAGAATAATAATTAAAAATGGTCATTAATAATGTTAATTACACAATAATAAGACATATAATAATTAATAATAAGAAACCAAACAATAAAAAAAAAAAAATTAAATTAAAAATGACAGGGATTCGAACCAAGGACTAAAAAAACGTTTGGCAGCGTGAAGACGGTTCTGACCACCCAGCTATCGGCGCACTATACGAAGTAAGTTAGAGATTTGCATACGTTAATAAAAAAGCTCTAAAGATTACGTCTTTCTTCACAAATACTGCAGAACGAATAAAAGTAACAATCTTAAAAGTTTTTTAAAGTGACTAAAAATTATATACATGTGTATCAGCACTAGCTAGCTTAAGAGCTAGTTAAATTAATAATCGATACAAAAATGTAGTAAAGTTTCTCATCACCTAAGCTTGCTTATCGAAGAATTAACGTAACGATTGTACTTGAGTAAGAAGTAGTAAGGCTGCTTACCGTCGTAGCTTTCATCTTATTAACTATCATACAAACAAAAAAAAAAAGGCTACTATTCATTGTTGCTTTCCTGCCTAAGAATCAATTGAGTCCTCAAATGGAAGAAAAATGCATTCGGGCTACTCATCACTGACACTTACTTATTGAAGAATTAATTTAGTTTTATAAGTGTATGTAATAGCCATTCTCAAAAACGGTGCATATAATGGATTTTTATTTCTGTGTTACTCTGCATATTAAGAAACTGATAAGATTTTATTGTAAGGTAACTACTTACACAACAATGAAGACATCTCATTTTACATGGCTTCCTAACTATCAAGCCACTGTTGGAAAAACGCTCTTAGAAAATAAGTTTGTCAGAAGTGTGAAACCAAGTCAGTATGGCCAAGTCTTAAACTAATCAGCATAAGTTACCAAGCTCCTAGGCTACAAAAACTGCAGTTGAAACCACTGTGCTACCATGATTGTTCAAATTAGTTGAATTGTTAAAGAAAAGTTTTAAAAAGTTGAGATAGTTATTACAGGTGCTTATTTGCCTAGCAATAAGCTTAGTTATTATACGAAAGTAAAAAAAGTCAGTGGACAGTGGTTGTTTTGGTACCTAAGCACTGAGTTATACTTTTCTGAAAGTCAAGGGCAGACAATATAATTATAAGCGGGAATTTACCTTCTACGAAATAGTATTATGTACAAAAGTATCACAATGATAGTTTTAATGGGTTTACCTGCGTTAACTGGATGTGATATCAATAAATCTTCAATCCTCAATAAATTAACGATTATGAACAGTATATATAAGCACAATGTAATATAAAAAGTATTAAGACTGGATCGTAATAGACGTTGCGCTTTCAACGAATCTTTCAATAATTTTAAATCATACTCCTACCGTCTACGCTGACTACATTTCTAACGCCACGCTCAAATCTGTCACATCCAGCCACACACGTATTTCTAGTCCATATTTCATACTAAAAATATAATTGTATCTAAAAAATTAAAAAAAACCATTCTGTTCTATCTCTTTCTTTCAAAAATTGAAATTCTTCATTTCTTAAGTAATGCAAACATAGCTTTGCGTTTAGTATTTTTCGATTTAAATTTATTTAATAATGACTCCAAATCCAGTCCATCCGTAAGGTTCTTGTAAACATGTAAAATTACTACCGAGTTCAATCTTTGTTGCTTGATTGTTGAACGCATGTAGGTTTTCAGCCTACGTAAAACTGAAAAACTCCTCTCATTTGTGCACGAAGAACCTGGTATTGTTATCATTAATCGTATGAATCGAGTAAATTCCGGTACAAGATCCACTGCCCACTTGTAAGTTTGAAAAAACTGGATTATTTCCCTTAAACTTGCAGCGCGCTTCACCCCTTGACGAGATAACAGGTCCATAAACATGTTACGGTCACTCAATAGTCGTTTTCTTTCAAAATCCTGACCGTAAAAATTCACGATTGTATTAATGTCATCGGACTCACCGATGGCAAATTTTTCAAGAGATTTGAAAAATTTTGCCGCATCGGTATCAAACCTACTGCCTAATGACAACAATACCTTATCGAAAACTATATTAAACGCTTCTTCGTACAAATCTTTGACATTTCTAGGTTTGGCGCTTGCGTCGTAATCCGTGGCTTGGTAGCGTTTTGGTAATTTGCGTGGTCGAGGGAGTTCCGGCTCGTTAACCTCATACTCTTTACATTTTGCTACACTTTGGCTCCAAATCTCCTCAAATTTGGTTTCTCGCGTACATGTTAAAACATCCGTGACTGCAGCAATTTTTTCGTACGATTCAGTGACACACAAGTGTGAATTTTGCAGTGCTGTGTTTAAAATCTCGATTCGCTCAAATATTTCAATCATCATCACTAAATAGAAAATATATTCAAATGATTGCATAGCATTATAAAGTCCTGATGCTTTTGCAGCTGTAACACTGTCGACATCAGGATCGATTGAGCGCTCGTACAGAAACTGTATCAATACGGGATAATTAGACATTACGGTCTTCAACGATTTAATTCGAACGACCCATCTGTAAATTTAAAAGATAAAAACTGTTTATTTTCTAATAAAAATATTATAAATTTAACTTATTTTGGAAATCTTCTACGTACCTCGTCGGGCAATATGCAGCTAAAGCGGGAAAGTTGTCAATTTCAGCATCACCTTGTAGTTCACGGAATTGAGCCAAACGTTTTGGGGAATCTTTAACAAAATTAATAAGTTCTCTCGTGGTTCCAATAAAGTTGCGTGCTTTGATGATTTTTTCCATTACGTCTTGTACTACAAGATTCAAATTATGAGCATTGCAGTGTACAAACAAAGCGCGTGGTTCTATTCGTCGAATCTGAGATTGCAAGCCATTAACTTTCCCTGAAACGTTTGCCGCACCGTCATAACATTGTCCTCTCAGCTTCGAGAATTCCAAACCATGTTCTTCAAATGTTGATTTAACGATTTCCAATAAAGTATCGGATTTTGTATCATCCGTTGCATGAAAACCCAGAAAATATTCGGATGATTGAAAATCTGCTGAGACCACTCTCACACACGTTGATACTTGTTCAATTTTTCCTATGTCTTCAGTTTCGTCCAACATCAGAGCAAAAAATTCTGCGGTTTTTATTTCCTGTGTTACTTGCCATAATACTTCATTCGCCATTAAATCTAAAATTTCGTTTTGTACTAGAGGGGACAACCACTTTTGGCCATCTCTTTGGAGCTAGGACTTTAATTCACTCACCTCATTGGAGAGCATATTAAGAAAAAACGAAAAATTTGAATTTTCTCCAGTATCGTGACCGCGGATCGGCAAACCCTGCCTTGCAAGACTTTGTAGGATGGTGAAAATTTTCTTTAAAGCTGTTCGGTTATCCATCAGTTGCTGTTGATGTGCTGATGACAGTAACTGCGCAACGTTAATGGTTTTGACGTTGGCGAGGGCTTCCACACTTTTAATGTGCATGAACTTGTTTCGTGGGCTGGAATCCTTTGCAAATCTTGTGACCAAGTATCAAATCCAACCTCGATCCAAGCTTCCTTAGACTTTTGCTCGCGGGAATCAATTTTTTATCCAATGCCTCAGTGCAGTGTGCGCACACGGCTTTATTATTTTTTAGTTCGAGCCAAGGGTGTTTGCTTTTCCACGTAGAGAAAAATTTCGGAACTTTTTTGACAACAAGTTCTGAAAAAATGAAGGTTAGAATTTCGTAAAATACGTAATATTACTTTTGTATTACTGTATCAACACGTTAAAGGAGTATTGAAAAGAAAAAAAAAATTATTGAATATAGATTTATAAAAACGATTGTTCAATATTTTATAATTTACACACTTACAAGAGGAAGTACTAGATTGACATGATGTATTATATCAAAAAATTTACAGTAATTACTCTATCTGAAATTCTTCAAGGAGTATAATAAGTTTGAAAAGTTGGAATAACATGAATAGCTTTAAGGATTCCCAACTTTTATAAGTGCTTTTTCGAAATAAGATAATATACACGCAAGCAATTTGGATTTTTTTTTAAATAATTTATTCACAACACATCAAGTCCCCCTGTTTTATTTTGTAGTTTTTCTTCATAATTACATTTAAATAAACATTCACAATAATTATTAAAAACGTATGCCTTACTTGGATATAAAGCCCCCTCAAGAGTAACTTTAAGAGAGAAAATTTTTTTTGTAAAGAAAATAATGTTCCTGAATATTATCTAGTTGGTTAACTGTTAGAATTAAGATTGGGAAAAATTATATCTATTAATAATTGTATGATTCAGTTGTGAATAAGAAAAACAATAACACATGGTACTTACGCTTTATATAGACGCAAATTGTCGGACTAGTATCTCATCCACTCTGGCCAAGCGGTAAGATGCTTGCCTGATAATCGGGGAGCTTGAGTTCGTGTCCCATATGAGCCGTATTTTTTTTTTTATATTCTTATAACTGTTGATATTTTTGCTAATTATTCTATGAATGTATAAACTATTGTCGTTGCACAAAATTTTTTTTATTATTTTTCTTTTAGAAATCTCACCTGAAATCTCAGTTGAGAATTTGGCATGAGATCTCACCTGAGATCTGAGGTGAGAAATCACATTAGATATCAGATGAGATCTTGGGTGAGATTTGTCAGGAGGATATGCTAGCTTTTCACGTTAGTTCAGTAGCATCTGCTAGATGGTGTGGACATTAAATCGAAGATACCTGCAGTAGAATTAAATAAGTGTGGTTATAATAAGACGGAGCGTCACAGAGATTTTTACAGCCGTCTACCGGCAATATATCAAGAATACAGATGTTAGTTGTGCAGCTGGGTAACCCGGCTACCGACAACAATCTTCTGCAATGGGCAAGCGATCTACGTCTAATTCCACCCTGAACCATCAGGATTGACGAGGGCTACCAATAAAAAAATTTTCTAAACGATAACGTCTCCGGTGAAATACCAGAAGACGTGTCTAGCCAGAGCACAACCTGATCTAACACACCAGAGTTTTGTGGCCGTTCAACCAGCCAGCCTGGTACCGTCAGAGAATTTTTTTCTACAAATGCAAGCCAAGAAAGACAGCCCTGAGAAGTACGGGCAGCCACAACGGCTTCCTGCTCAGTGGTCGTCCCAACGGCATACCTACAGAGAAGGAATTCTACAGGCCCACTTTTCTAAAGGATGAGCCGTTGATTATCCGAGGAACAACCCGAATACAAAATATTCTTTGGTCAGTGGCGTACCTTCCTCCAGCACTGTCTCTGTACACAGAGACTTAGAAAGTAAGAGTCAAGCTACCCGCAGCCAGCTGTAGAACAATAATAATAAGGAATAGCTAGAAGTTTAACCACTGGCCCTTTTTAGGCCCGAGGACAAAAATATATAGTTGTAAACATAGCTTTTTTTTTATATTACAGTGTACTAACCTCTGAGAGGTATGTAAACATAGCTATTACAAACAGAAGTTTTTGCAGCTACACATATAGCTATAACTATCTATATTATATAGCTATAACTACCATAGAGATAATATAATAGAGGAAGCGAACTGTATTTTCTTCTGTAAGTGGAAGCGCACGGTCAGTAGACAGAAGAAGACGACTGTTTTGGTCTTGCATCTCTCTCTGCTCTCTGCATTGATTGGCTGCTGGAGTAGGTATATATATTGAATTAGAGGCAGAAGAGGGCATTTAAAATAGACAATCAGGACATAGTTAGAGCAATGATGCGTAATTATAGCATCAGCAAAATAAACGGATGACACTTCATAACATTGCAGTAAAAGCGATTTCTTACCTTTCGTCCATTTAAACTAGTGCTCCCCATTCATCGAGAACCGAGATTTGGGGTAATAAAAAATGTTTTTTGCTTGTTAACCGAATTAAACTACGGTTAACAAAAAGGTTACACCTAACGTATATCACACAATTTTTGCCAGCCGAAACCTACGGGCTATTGGGTTATTTAACAATAATTGAGTTATTTAAAAATTTTTTTTGGAAAGTGTTTTTTTTTTTTTTTTTTTTTCGAAGAATTGTAAGAGAAAAAAATTCAAAGTCAAATAAAAATTGTTGTGGGAAAATAAAATTAAAATTTGTTTGAAATTTATTGCTTGGGAGTGTGAGGGGGAATGGTGGGCAAAGGTGTGCAGAAGAGTAACACGGCACGGTTGGCAGATATACATACATAGTGGGGAGAGGAGAAGTGTGTAGAGAACAGTAGGTGAGGAGGCCGGGGTAAGGGGGGAACTTGAGAGGAAGAGACTTCGCGTAAGCCACTTTCGTTTCAAAAAAAAAAAATCTGTCGGTTGTAAAATTCCAGCCCCCCGAGTACGTGACATAAAGAACTTTGTTCTCAAAGTTTTACTTTATGTCTCAATAATGAATTCAAACCTCTAATGTAGTTATTTGCTTAGTTTTCTATTGTACGTATGTGTATGTGCTTTATATTTGTATTAAGTGTTGATGTATAGTTAACATTAATACGTTTAAGACTTACTTCATTTATTTCAATGAATAATCAGCTTGTAGCGATCGATACAACTATAAAAATGCATTTATTTACTAATATTAAGCAGCGTTCGTAACTTGCATTTTATTTTCTCTGTAAAGCTTGTTAATTTTAATTTTTACGATAACGAGTTGCATAGATTTTATAAAAATTTTAAGTAATGGTGGACCTCCAACGTAACTTATTTCTTTAGTTGTATTTCTCTTACCAAAGTAGGTTTACTAAAGCTGGCCTTAGGACAAAGGAAACGTTTCTTAAATTCACAGAAGTCTTTTTAAGGTTTTCAACTTTTTTTTTTCTTTTAGCTCTCAACTAATTATGAACTGATACACGAACACTAACAGTTATTGTAAAAAATATGAAGAGCAGAACCACATATTTAGAAATCAGTATGTGGATGAATAGTTACGTAAGTAGATTTGAGCAGAAATGTACACGTAAAATAAAAAAAACATGAATGTTATCTTTTTAAGCTGTGGTATACAATGTATGTCGCACATTCTAATACAACACCAACTGGAGCCTTAAAAGTAAGAATTTAAAATTTTCATGATAATACTGTTGACACAAGAAAATCATAAATATGACACTGTTACAAACACAGTCCCCCTAACTCTTATTACACGCATCTCTAGTGTCAGTACAGTACGTATGCATTAAACATCAATCTAGAAAACAAAATTTAATTATTTTCTGCACATAAAAGGTGCTTATGAAATCAATAAATCGTTATAACGTGAGAAGGCTTTACGAGAAAAGTTCCTAGTTAATCTTGATACTTGTTCATGATCATGGGGCTCTGTAATTATGATCAGTCAATAAATGAGACAGACAGTAGTGTTAAAAATGATTGCAAGTATATATAGTATTGTTACTCATACATTAAAAGTAGAATGTTTCATCTTTAACTTACATGAGTTAGCAGAAAAAAAAACACATTAGCTAATGGCTGCTTTCAAACGCATTCTTCATCGTCTTAGTCAATAATAAATTTTTTTCTGCTGTTGTAAAGAGTTTCTTTCCAAAATTGAAAATTGAAATGCTCACATGACTCTGATATAACTGTACATCTCGTTAAGCTACTACATACTAATAAATTCATGAATAGTAATATGCTTATGTCGAAAAAAAATTAGCACTAAGAAAAGTGTATAAGTTATGTTTATGATTCCATCTATTTTTATTTTCATTTATTCATCGACTTGCAGTTTCGGTAACAATTTGAATCAGTTTGTCAATAATAAGATACTAAATGTATTGTATTGTTTAAAAAAAAAATATTTTAAATTAAAAAAAAATGATTATTCAAATTAACATTAATGATTTTGCTTAGGACGTCACACACAAAAAAGGTTGTTTGCCGTATTAGTATGAACTATAAGAAAATAAAGGTAACACTCTGGAGGAGTTTTTTTAATAAATAAGGTGTGTGAGGTTAAGCATTCTAATATTAGGATCAAGAGTATGTCCAAAATCTTAATTTTTCAGTTTTAATTTTCATCTTATTTGATTAAAAAAAAAAATTTGCTTTTTTACAAAGGCTGAAAATTTCTGAGTTCTTTAGACAATGATATGTTGTGCTTATACATTGCTGAATATTTAACTTCATTGGGCAACTATCTATTCATTGTTTTCGCACAGTATATATCTCTACTTTTCACAAATTTTAAGTAAGAGGAAATGTGTTAAATGAGGATCAAAATATTGTTACGATTTTTTTCACTCCCATTGAACAATTATGACCCTTTTAATTTCATTTCAATAATTTAAATAATAATGCCTTAAGTTTTTTCGTGCTTGTTGTACTGCAATTCCAAACTTGCAAGTTTTGTTTACTTTAGTAAAGTATTAGTGAAGTGTAATTGTTATTTAATATTTTTAATAGCAACACCAGTAATTTACAATTTTATAATAGCATCATTTCAATAACTTAACTTAACGCTACGTGATACATTTTTTATACCGACTTTTGTATAAAACTTTTCATATAATAAGTAAAATTATAAATTTTATGTGCAAAAGAGTCAGAAGTATTATGCTGTTTATCAGGCACTCATAATCAAATATCACATGACCTAAATGCTTAATAAATATACTGCTTTTGAGAAGTTTTGTTATAACTACTATATTAAAATCAAATTAATAGGTTCTAGCAATGAAACATCAACAAAAGAAGCTGACTTCGAAGCTGCTGTTTCAGCAACTGGATATGGAAAATTCCACTATCTCTTGTACTTGGCCGTGATTCCCGCAACATGGGCATCTGGTTTTGATACTTCAACTACGTCAATGATAATTCCATCTGCGGAGTGTGATTTCCATCTTACTCTTTTTCAAAAGGGTGTTCTAAATGCAGCAGTATATGCTGGTAAGTTATGTGTGTTTTATGATTAATTGCAGACTGACAGTTCAATTCATATGAAAATATGTTACACATTATGATGTAAGGAGTATAAACAAATATTATTTATTCTTTTAAGTAAGAGCATTTTTTTTTAATAGTCAGAAAGCAACCGCATTATAGAATAAAAAACGGGATGGACTAACTTTTTAACTAGGTAAATGTTTGAAAATTCTTACGTTTGTATGAAAATTATGGAAAATACAATTTTAAGTACTCAATTACATGGAAAGTCAGTAAGTTTATTTTCTTCTAAAACATTCTTACTTTTGAAGTATGTAGTTTAAATAAAATAAAACTCAGAAACAACCATATTTATACTGATAGCAAATAAGTGTTTTAAAAATTTTAAACAGTTTCCAATATTTACTTTTTTGCTAAATAAATTCTAACATAAAATTGTTTGTGACACTATAAAAATAATAATTTGCAAGACAAAATTTAAGTCATTAAAATAATAAAGTTAGACTGTAGAATCTAGAATTTTTTATTTTATTAGTTGGTACTAGTTTCTTAGATCTTATTTTGTAAAAAGTTATACTAACTGAGAGACCTACAGATTTGAAGTCCATTACAGATTTCGCAGTGATAAGTGTTTGTGGCGTTTAGATAATAATCAAGTGAGGAGTAATAAGACTTTTAAGTATGTTATATGACAAGAAAACTTGATGCTGTATTTGTAACTGTACTGCTTAATCCTCTGTTATGAAAACAAGCACACAATCACAAAATTAAATGAAAATGATTAAACTAATTAACTCTAATTAGTAATCATCAGACTGGTACATTAAAAAAAAAATTAAACGGAACAATATCCATCCTAGTAAATAATCAAAATGTGTGATCTTGCTTATTATTACAAAATAACTTTGAACTAAATACTGCGAATTTCAAATTTATTCATGAAAACTATATTTTCTGTAAAAAAATTTGGACTATCATAGTTTATAATTAATGACTCTCAACAGAAAATGAGCATTTAAGAGTCGTGAAAATTCTTCTATTGTTAAATCAAATACAAAGATAAAAATTAAAAACTATGTCATTTTGTCAAACTCTAAGAGAAGCTTCCTGAAATTATCAAAACAAAAAAAAGTAACAGCAATTCTACGACCATTGTTGCAACCCCAGTTTTATAAAAAAGTGACATGATTTAGATATTTAAGAATTGCGAGTTTCAAACATTTATTTGCTGTTCAATGTCTCCTAGAGAATGAGAGTCTTATATACTTTAATTGAAAGGCACAAAAATTATCTTTGATTCATTGGAACTATTATTCTGTGAAAAGTGATAAAAATCATAAACAAGAAACTTAAACAAAACAAGTGTATCGTATTTGGCCTATTCTGCATAAGAATTGATAACAATAGCAAGCGATGAGCTGTAAGTTTTGCAAAAATAGTTTTTTACTCAAGTTCAGAAGGATCTAGTAGGTGGCATAGAAGTAAAACTGAAGCTACCTACAATAGAAAAGAGTATGTGTGGTGAAAATATCCCCAAGCGAATTGCTTAATTTCATAAGCATTCGCTGGCAGAGCATCAAGATTATTCGGTTGCAAGTCGTGCAGCTGGGTATTCTAGCTACCAACAACACTCTTCTCTAATGAATAAGCAACTAACGTCAAATTTCATCTTAAACCACCAAGATTAACGAATGCCACGAATAAAGAGCGCTCTGAACGCTAACTTCTCCAGCATAATACCAGGAGCCTAGCCAGATGTCTAGCCAGAGCACAATCTGCCCTAACAATTAAATGTTTTACGGTCGTTCTTCCATCTGACCAGTTGCTACCCAAGCAGATTTTGCTACACGAGAAAGCCAGGTAAAATAACCCTGAGGAGTTTTAGCAGCCATTTCAGCTTTCCACTCAGATGTTCGTCCCAACGGAATACAATGGAACCACCCAAGCACCCCTTGCCAGCTAGCATAGAGCTACGTTAGTTAACACTTTTATAGATATCAACAAGCTAGCCAGTGTTGTTGTGACAAGGATGTTTTTTTTTATTTCCATTCTCAGCCTACAGAGGATGCTGAAGCTTGGAAAAAAGCATCTAAAAAATCTAACGATTCATGACCAATAGCGGTGGACAGGATCATGGAGATAAAATCTTAGTAACTTCTAGGGAGTAAAAAAAAATTTCCCAAAGCCAATCATAGCAGAGTAAAGTAAACGTCGTTGGTAAAAAAGTAGGGAGAAGCAACGGTTCTCATCTTTGTATATGTTCCCAATAATACACAGATAAACAGTAAGCAATTGTGCAGATGTCATGTTTTGGAAAAATTGAGAGAATACTAACAAAAAAATCTTGATGAATGTCACTCAGTCAGTATATGAAGTCAGGACATTATTAAAAGGCCAAAAAAAACTGTAGCTACATCCTTTTACCCGATGCATAGCAGCGATTTTGCACTTTCAAGACTTGCAAAAACATTTCGCAGTCTGCATATGCTTAAATGAGCAAAAAAATATTGACAAAGCTTGTGCCCAAAATGTTGTTTTCAGCAGTACTAGCTGTAATGATTTAAATTTATAGCTCCTTCCAGATAAGTTTAAACAGCTGCTCAATGTGTAATAGTTGCCAAGGAGTTTGTGATTACATGTAAACAAAAAATTAAAGTGTCAAGAGCAAATCGTTAAAGTCAGATCCTAAATCTGTAGAATATATGCTAACCACACCTTTATGAGCAATGCAACTACGTCTAACGTTTGAATCAAATTTTGCTATGGATTTGTTAAAGTAAACACTGGTGCAACACATATTTTAAAGCACAGCTATGTTTGTCAACTTAAAAAAAATCAACTTTGAACAGGATGTAGTTAATTTTTTTAAAAGCTATATAAATTAACTCAAGTAACAAACTATTAAAGGTAAATGATTACTTTTGAATTCTTGATTTTCAGCTGGTAAAGTACTTTTTTTAATAATTTTCCTTTTAATACAAATGACTTTGTTTATTTTAGTCTTCGTACATATTATGTCCAATTGATTATCATTTGATAAAGCAAAAGGATATTATGCAGAACAGAAGCACAGACGATCATAGACCAAACTCCTTTCACCCGATGCACAGCAGCGATGGAACCAAAACCAGCTCTTACACTTTCTAGAGCTGCAAAAGCATTTCGTAGCCTGCATATATTAATGAGCCAAAAATATTGTCATGGCTTATGCCTCAAAAGATAATTTTTACAGTCTTAGCTGTGATAACTGAAATATTTGGCTTCCCTCACATGAGTTCAAACACCTGCTCAATGTGTACTAGTTGTCAAGGAGTGCTTAATGCTTACATGTATACAGAGAATTGAAGTACCGAGAGTAAATCTTACATGGCAGATCTTAAGTATGCAGAATGGTTACTTAACCTTGATAAGCAATTTAACTACGTCTAACCTTTGGATCAAATTTTGCTATGAATTTGTTGAAGTAAACACAGCTGCAATACATATTTTAAAGCACAGCTATGTTTATCAAGTTGAAAAGGAACAACTTTGAACAGGCTATAGTTAATTTGTTAAAAGCTTTTTAAATTGATTTAAGTAATAAATAAAATAAATAAGAATAAATAAAACAAAATAAATAAATAAACGTTTTCCCGGTTTCTTCGAGCCATCATTCTGTGGTAAAATATTGGACAATTAAGTAAAGATATGTCAGCATTCAATGTTTTTACACGCAAATCACGCATCTAGACATGTATTATATATTTAAGGTACAAGAAAGTCATTTAGCGATTGAACAAAGTTTTTGCGTCTACTTCTAAGTATAAGTTTATAAATATTTTTATTTTTATCTTTTATTACAAAATAACTTTGAACTAAATAC